GGAGAGTCAGGCTCAATTGGCCCAGTCCCCTAACTTTTAGGGCTGATAGCCCGCTTGTTCTGTTCCTAACCTCTCATTTCCAGGTATTTGCTGTCTTAAGCTTCATTTTTAATTCTTAGTGGAAATGGGTCATATATTAGGTTCTCGGGAAAGTCACAACACATTTTTACAAAGAGAAACAGAAAAAATGTGTTAGGACTTTTCCAGCAACCCAATGTTTTTATTTGTATATTGGTGGTATTTTCTGTCCAGAACCTTCTGCTATTTGACTAAAACGACATTAATGTTCCCGTCATCTGCCTTACTGGTTCATTTCGTCTTTACTGGCTCCTGTGTCTCCATCTCTTTTTTCTGGCCTATGAGTTCCTACTCTTTGTTTTATTGTTTTGCTTTGTTTTTGAGAGGTTTTTGGTATAGGGCGTGTGCGCTTGCCAGAAAGACAGAGAGAGACAGAGAGATAGAAAGTGAGAAATCACCCCCCGGGGGGATGGCCACACCACAATCCCTTCTCCATTCTCCTCGTGGGATCTTGAGCATGCATGCACATTTGCCCGGCGTGAGTTTAAGGCACCAGGTCCTGGACTCGAACCATGGTCGGCTACATGGGAGTCCAGCGACATAGCCATCATGCCAACTGCTGGTCCCAAGTCCTGCTCTTTGTGAAAGCAAGGGCTTTTAGGTTGTTTATGAATCTGTACCCTGAATTTTCTTCGTTTTAGATAATTTATTTCTTTAAACTGAGCATAGGTGTATGATAGGCAGAAAGATGGAGTAGGATACATTTATGGAAGCCAGATACTACAAAGGAAAACCTGGCGTATGGTCTTTGGAAGGAGAGATCTGCCCCTGTTTTGCCTTAGGCAGGAGCATTAAAAATGAGGCCCAAGTCTATGTGACAGTAAGAAAGGGGCCATTTCATATTCAGGTGTGCCTCTTTCAGCATCCTGTGGCCTAGAGGGCAGTGTCAGGAAGCCCTGGGAGTAAGTGGTCTCTCCATATATAAAGTTGACAGTAGATGTTTTATGCAGTTTATGGAGCTTCTTATTTCCCCCAGCAGATGGATGGTGTTCTTCCTGAAGAGTATACTTTAAACTGGATTCTGTTCCCCTCTGATCTAAGATATAATCATGACAATTAAAAAAATGTAAATGTAAAAAAAAAAGACACTTTGTCTAAGAGTCCCACTCTGGCTTTTGGATTTATAGTTGATGATAGTAGGGCTGTGTTGTATGTTTTCAATAAACCATACTTTCACGGAAATGACAAAAATAGCAGGTGTACTTTCAATTGCATTTGTATTGTTTTGAACATATAAATAGAACATACTTCCTTATCAAACGTGGGCTGTATGCTGTACAAAAGGGAATTAAAACATAGGTTTTCTATCTAAATAAGCAAGTTACAAATTGGCAAAGGATATGTAATTATGATGGGAATAACGTTGGTACCATAGGTCAGGTATTGTGCCAAGGACTTTCTATTGTACTATTCAGTTTAATTGACAAAATCCTATGAGCTAAGTGTTATCATACCCAGAGAGGTTATGAAACTTGCCCAATGTTACATAGTCTGTAAGTGGTAGAGACCAGGACCTGAACTCAGGTCTGTCTGATTCTGAAGCCCTTGTCCTAACTACCATACACAGTGTTCAGTTATTATGCTGCTTGTGCACAAATACAGTACTGAGCTTCAGAAGCTCCAGTCTTACCAATGGAGCAAAGCAGCAGGAAAGCCCCTCTGAATTATCAGTCAGAATTCATTTTCAGAAATCAGATACTGTTAAGACTCTTTTTATAACGTGTGATAGTATTTTGTAAGTTATTTTAAGTATACGGTTTTCAAATCTCCAGATTGCCTCAGAGGAAAACACATCTAAAGGCTTCTGGCCAAGTTGTGATTATTTGTAATCAACACTTTCAGAAATATTTCCATTCTATCATTTTGCTGATCACGGATCTAGAAAACCACAACAAATCATAAGATAATGTGATTAGCAAACCCCTGAACTTGGTTGCTGTGTTCCTTCAGTAATTTGACTTTAAAGCTTGCAATAAAAAGGGAGAGGATTATTAGCGAACCCACTTAGGCGCTTGCTCTTTTGTTACTGAAGAGTGAAAATGTTTTCTCAACTATTCTTCCAGTGGAAATGAGGGTGGGTATCTTTTTTGAAATACATCTTTAATTTGGTTTTGGGTTCTGCAGAGTATCATTTCATTAGTTCTGGACAATAAACCATCATCTCAGTACAAGTTTCCGTCACAGGAACAGTGAAATAATAAAACTGAGAAAAAGTGGTTTGAACATTTTAGTCAGTGCCTTATCACTTACCTTGTAAGTTTCTAGAGAAGATATGCAGTGCCTTTACCTCTGAGTTTTCCCTGGCTGTATGTTGGCATCCTTTGCATAGTAGGTATTCAGTAATTTCTTTTTTCTCATGACTGTTACCAAACCATTGGCATTTTAGTCATTTTCACCAAGCCATCACTTGGAAAACTGTCATAAAAATCAAAGCCGTATGTTTAGATCTCTCATAAGTTTCACAGTTTTTTCACTAAGATAGATATTTTGCTCATTTGTAAAGCACATAGTATTTTCAGAGTAAGGTCAATATCTTACTGGCTTCGCTCTGAATAATTACTGTCTTTTTCTTACTAAGACTTTCATACAAATTTGTTGTGACTAAATTAAATATAGGAAAATCTAAAATGAGTAGAAATGATCAGGTAATGAAGTATATGCTGAGTTATAAAATTACGTTTCAGTGTTCAGTTATTAGAATCAGTCATCTGAAGCAGGTGGCATATACTAATTTATTAACCTGTATATCATCATTCTAAGGAAATAATAACAACACCAACAATGACTTTCAGTTATTGAATATTACTTAACATGTGCCAGTACTATGTTAAGTGTATTAATTATCTTCTTTAATTCTCATAACTTTATAAGTTAGGTATTATTTTACCTATGAACAAATGAAGTTCAAAGGTACACAGTGTCTGAGTCAGGATTTGAACCTGGTTTTATTGAATTCCAAAATTTATACTCTATGTTAAAGAGATAGAAATGAGCACAATTCCTTATTCATATTATTAAAAATGAAGTTTTTAAAAAGAGCAGGCTATTGGGACCAGCAGATGGCGGAATGGGTACATCACTGGATTCCCACATGGGTGACTGCATTTTGAGTCCTGGACTCAGCGGTCTAGAACTCATGCCAGGCGCATGTGTGTGCACGCCCAAAATCGTGAGAGAAGAATGGAAGAGAAGGGATTGTGGCATGACCATCTCCTGGGGAGGGGTGGTGGTGATTTCTCACTTTCTGTCTCTCTGTCTCTCCCTTGAGTGATTACTCCCTATAGCAAAAATTTCTCTCTCTCTCAAAAAAAAAAAAAAAAAAAAAAAAAAAGCAGGCTAGTTGACTCTTTCTGGCTGTTTTCATCGAAGACAGATCTTGTGAATCTTACAGTCCTGATGAAAAAAATAGCAATTCAAGAGAATAAAAAAGGATAAATTGGTAAACACTGAGTGGGATGCTGCGCTATCTGATCATTGCTGCTGAGTTACTGGAGACACATAAGACCTTACAAAGTTGTCCTGTCTAATAGGGCATGTCATTTTTTTACCTGACCTTGCCATCCTGCCCCTCTCTCAGCCCTCAATTAATCTGCCATTGGTACAGGATTTATAATGTGTCACTGGGCCATTCAAGAGACAGCAGCAGAGGTGTGGCTGAAAAGCTCGATGATAAAGAATGGAGACAATTTCCATTTCTGTTCAGATCAAGGTGGCAACAAAACCATAGCTGACCCTTGGGACAGACCAAGACAGTCCAGCAAGAGCATATCCTAAGCATAGAATTGTACACTTAATGCCGAATGCCCTTTTAGAAAGGACGTTTCCTCTGAGTGAGCAAGATGTCACCATTTCCATCTATGATGGGAACATTCAAGCCTTGGAAAATAATTGTAGTATTAATCATGTACAATGTTCTAGGAGAGAATCTATATTTTATTCATCCTTTAGGTTTCTAAACAACAGGGTAGCTTTTTTAAATGAAGATTTTTAAGGAAAAGAATAGTTTCTTCTTTGTCAAATGTGTGTAGGCCATGTGAATTAGGTAGAGTCCTTCCTAGAAGTTTTAAATGTTATGAATTTTATTTGGTATAGGTAAGATTATGTTAATCTGTGTTTTAAATGCATAATGAGACTGAACTTCTTTTGTTAGAATTTAACTAATTTAAAAGAAGGATGTTACTCCTTTAGAAATTAATCATATTTCACAAATTTGGAAATAGAACTCTTGACTTTCAGTTAACAAGGGAAGAAACCACAGACATCTACATTTTAAATGATTACTTTTACTCAGCATGAGCAATATCCTAAGCTGTAAATATGATTTTAAAATTTAAAGTTTGATAAAATGGTACATGTGCAAGCCAGCCCATGGTGTGGTGGTTAAGGCTGCTGGATCTGTCATGGCTGACTGTGGTTTAAGTCTTAGACCCGGTGGCTTGAGAAACATGCTGGGTACGTGTGCGTGCATGCCCAAAATTCCAAAAGGAAGGGGAGATGGGAGAGAAGATATTTCAGTTTGACCATTCCCTATTGGAAGTGCTTTCTCACTTTCCCTCTTATGCTCTGTTTTCTCTTCCTGCAGTGCAACACACCCTCAGGCAGAATTTAAAAAAAAAAAAGATACATGTATATTTTAATTCTGGTTAGCCTCCTGTTACCTAGCTAATATAATAACACTTATCAGTCTCAGTTTACTCAGCATTTAGAAAGGACTGATTAGTGGTTTAAGCTCTGGGGTCTGAATGACTGATGGGCCTTCCCAGATATTCTGGCTAAAAGATAAAGCTGGTGAAAATCAGAGCTGGGGTTTTTCTACCTGTGTATTTATCAGTCTTCTCCTAAACCACAGTCTGCCTTTTGATAGCTCTAATAATTAATTTGGTCTTCTCTCTTTCCCCTCCCTTCTCCCTGTCTGTTCACAGGTTATCTTGACGAATCAAATTACAACCCATCTGAGCGGAGCCCTTGCTTCTCAGGCAGACCTGGTGTCTCCAGCTGATGATTTGTCCCTGTCTGAAGGTAAGGGATCTGTCCTAGAGAGGCTGAAACTTGACACTGACATAAGGCCTCACTGCTTCTCTGCCTCCTGTTGAGAGCTGGGAGACAAGTCAAATAGGCCCCATCCAGTGAACCCAGCCGGAGCCTGGTGATTTAAGCTTGGCCTCCTCTCCTGGCATCTGATCTCTTATACTTGGAGAGTCTCTGGCCCGTCTCTATAAGTGAGCTTCCTTTTCCACTGGAGTGAATCATCCTCACAGGTATCCATCATCTCCATCTGGTGGCTTGTCACTCTGTGGGTTGTTTCAGGTCCTTAGCATGAGGGCTGGTGAATTGCTAAGTGACTTTATCTGTGACAGTGATGTTCAAAGGTTGACTTTCCCAGTGGTCCCACGGAGTGTAGCCTTTTGTTAGTGCTGAGCACCTTTTGACTGGCTAAAA